TGGGAGTTCGAGACCAGCCTGACCAACATGGAGAAACCCCATCTCTACTAAAAATGCACAAAGTTAGCCGGGCATGGTGGTGCATGCCTGTAATCCCAGCTACTCGGGAGGCTGAGGCAGGAGAATTGCTTGAACCTGGGAGGAAGAGGTTGCGGTGAGCCGAGATAGTGCCACTGCACTCCAGCCTGGGCAACAAGAGCAAAACTCCATCACACACACACACACACACACACACACACACACACATTCTGAAAAATAAGACTAGAGTGGTGGGCCGGGCGCAGTGGCTCACATCTGTAATCCCAGCACTTTGGGAGGCCAAGGTGGGCAGATCACCTGAGGTCAGGAGTTCAAGACCAGCCTGGCCAACATGGTGAAACCCTGTCTCTACTAAAAATACAAAAATTAGCCAGGCAGGGTGGTGCATGCCTGTTGTCCCAGCTACTTGGGAGGCTGAGGCAGGGGAATTGCTTGAACCCAGGAGGTGGAGATTGCAGTGAGCCGAGATTGCAGCATGTACACCAGTCTGGGCAACAAGAGAGAAAGCCCGTCTCAAAAAAAAAAAAAAAGATTAGAGTGGTGGCAAAAGGAAAGAAAAAGGAAAGGATCTAGCTGGTTAAAAAAGAATCCAATATGACAGGTTTTCAGCATGGATGGCTAAAAGAATGACAGAGCTACTGATGGAAAGAGACATGTCTAGAGGAGGAATTGCTTTGGGAAGAAAGAAAAATTGACTTTGAGATGATGCTCATAAGTCTAAGTGAATTTCACCAACAGGAAAAAAAAAGTTACTTCTACAGCACCTTCTACCAGGAGCTTCACCATAGGATGCTACTCATCCTCACAGCCTACCTACCAGGCAAGTGTTACCACAGTTTTTTCTTCTCTTTTCTTTCTTTCTTTTTTCTATTTTTTTTTTTTTGAGGCGGAGTCTCACTCTATTGCCAGGCTGAAGTGCAGTGGCATGATCTCGGCTCACTGCAACCTCCACCTACCAGGTTCAAGTGATTCTCCTGCCTCAGCCTCCCGAGTAGCTGGGACTATAGGCGTGCGCCACCACGCCCAGCTAATTTTTGTATTTTTAGTAGAGATGGGGTTTCACCATATTGGCCAGGATGGTCTCCATCTCTTGATCTCGTCATCTACCCGCCTTGGCCTCCCAAAGTGCTGGGATTACAGGTGTGAGCCACCGCACCCAGCCATTACCACAGTTTTCTAACGGAGAAAAACAAGGCCAACAGAAGGTGGCAGAGTCAGGATTTTAAGTCCCATGCCACCAGACTAAAGTCAGGGCTTCTTTCCACTATTCCACACTATCTCCAAGTAAAGAACTAGAACCCGAACTCTGGAGAAGTTGTGGCTGGACCTGTGACTCCTGCGAGCTGAGACGAGGGAGCTGAAAAGGCGGAAAAGTTTGCTAAGAAGACATGTGAGAGAAGAACGGGAGACAGCTTCAGAGCATCTCTGGCAGAGGAAATAGCCTAGCATTCTGAACACAGTAGCATAATGCAATGTTTTTAGAAAGCGGGGAGAATATAGGGATGGGAAAAGGAAGTCCTGGAAAGATTTACAGGTGCCACATCATAAAGAACCTCATCTGCCAAGCCTACGAGATTACAATTACCCTATAGGCAATGGGGTGTCATTGAAGAGTTTTAGGCAAGGTATTGAGATAATCAGATTTGTTCTCAGAAGGGTCAAGCTGGTGGCAGTGGTGTGAGAGATGGACTGAAGGCCAATTAGGAAGCACCTGTGATGATACAGGGGCGAAAGGATGAGGAGAGGAGGCAGAGGGAATAGATGTTAAGAGAAAGAATCAATAGGATTCCGGGGGAAAAGAGAGGTGGGATGATCAAAAGTACTTTTCCAGGGTCACTGGGAATGCCGATAATATTTACAAAACATAGGGTATGCTGGGACAGTGGCCCACGCCCACACTGGGAGGCCAAGGTGGAAGGATTGCTTAAGGCCAATCCTAGGCAGTGTAGTAGGACCCCATCTCTACACATAATAAAGAAACAATTGGCCAGCGTGGTGGGAAGCAGCATCAGGAGGATTGCTGGAGTTTGAGGCTGCAGTGATCTATGATCATTCCACTGCACTCCAGCCTGGGTGACAGAGGGAGACCTGTCTCTGAAAACAAAGAAACAAAAAACACAGGGCATGCAGAAGGAGGAACATGTCCGTGGAGGAAGTGTGAAGTCATTTGTCTTCATATTCCTCCAACATCACTTAGAGCATAGACTAGTGCTCGGTGTATGGTTATTTGAATTGGATTTTGGACACATTTAGTTTGAGATATCATTGGAACATGCAGGTGGAAATGTTTAGTAAACTATTGGAACTCTGGGTCAGGAGCTTAAGAGAACAATGTAAGCCTTCCGAGTTACTTTGTGAATCAAGACATAAGTAAGGGAGTGAGAAAAGGCCGTGGACAAAATCCCTGAAAATACCCAGCATGTGAAGAGCAAGTGGAGAAAAACGAGCTAATGAAGGAAGCAGAAAACAGGCAGCAAGAGAGGTGGGAGGTTAAGAAAGTGTGTGTAAAGGAAACAGACATACATTTCAAGAAGGAAGGGGTTGCTGGAAGGGTTACACTGCAGAGATGCCAGATGAAATGAGGACTGGTAGATATGTCTACATGGGATCTAACACTTTCTGTTTTCCCTATTTCCCTGCCACACTTCTGTTTTACCTTGCTTCTCTGGCATGGTACTCCTAATAAAGCATTAGCATGTAAGCATTTGCTGTAGGCCTTGTTTTCTAAGAAATTTTGGCTAAGACTTAAAGCTAAAGCAGTAATTGGCTATAAAAGTTGTAATTTCTAATTCCTATCCCTGTCAGTACAAAATTGCCATTTTAGCAATTGAAAGCAGAGAAGAGGCTGGGCACAGTGGCTCACACCTGTAATCTCAGCACTTTGGGAGGCCGAGGCAGGTGGATCACTTGAGGTGAGGAGTTCGAGACCGGCCTGGCCAACATGGTGAAACCCATCTCTACTAAAAATACAAAAATTAGCCAGGCATGGTGGCACGCACCTGTAATCCCAGCTACTTGGGAGGCTGAGGCAGGAGAATTGTTTTAACTCAGGAGGTGGAGGTTGCAGTGAGCTGAGAATGTGCCACTGCACTCCAGCCTGGGTGACAGAGCAAGACTATGTCTCAAAAAAAAAAAAAAAAAAATGCAGACAAGAAAACACAACCACAACCTCAGAAGTAAATGTGTCAAAAGCATGTAAGGTGCTTGATGCCTCCTACATCTCAGATCCAATTAGCATAATGTAATCAGAATGATGAAACTACCATATTGTGCTGTGAGCTACCAAGACAATCAAAATCCCCATCGACTATACTTTGACACAGATCAGGAGAGTTAACATAGGCCAGAGGCAAGACTGTCAAGTGTACTGCTCTTCTTGTCAAGTAATGCTTTTGCTTCTCCCAATTGATGGGGCTCTCTAACGGGGACTGGCAAACTACAACCTCCAGGCCAAATATGACTCTCCAGCTGTTTCTATAAATAAAATTTTATTGGAACACAGCCATGCTCATTCATTTACATGCTGTATATTGCTGTTTTGACACAAAATCAGCTAAATTGACTAGGTACAACAGAGATTAGATGGCATGCAAGGCCTAAAATATTTACTGTCTTGCCTTTTATAGGAAAAGTTAGCTAACCCATGATTGAGAATAAAGCATTTATCAAATCAACAGCCACATATCAAATACCAGAAGGTGTGTTGATTCCCTCTAACAAAGATAGGAACTGCAACCGAGGCAATGACTCAGTTAAGTTTATGGCAGTCTGTTACCACCCTCCATTATTTATCTGTGCTTTTAAACACAAGTGAACTGAATGGGAATCTGGGCCCAGTACACGTCCGCTGCACTGTCTATCTAGCTGAATGGGAATATGACTGGGAACACCAACCCAGGACACTTTTAAGTCTTTTTTTTTTTTTTTTTTTTTTTGGCAGGGTCTCATTCTGTTGCCCAGGCTGGGGTTCAGTGGCATAATCACAGCTTACTGCAGCCTCAACCTCCTGGGCTCAAGTGATCCTTCCACCTCAGCCTCCCGAGTAGCTGGGACCACAGGTGTGTGCCATCAAGCCTGATTAATTTTTTAATTTTTGGAGAGATGAGGTCTCCCTATGTTGTCCAGGTTGGTCTCGAATCCCTGGGCTCAAGCAATCCTCCCACCTTGGCCTCCCAAAGTGCTAGGATTATGCCACAAGCCCACTTTAAGTCTTTGATGTTGGTGCTAATCTCTGCAATTCCTCTTGGGATATGGTAATACTTGTGATTTAGTATCTTAACGAGGGGCAGAAGGTGGCTTTCATTGGGCCTTTTCTACCATAAAGAGTTTATTTCACAGGTCAGAAAACCAAAGTGACAATTTTCCCAGATTCTAAGTGTATCTGTCTCAATTATACTTTCAGAAACCAGGGACATAAACTTAAGGCCAGTTTGCAAAACCTCTGGATACGTTGTGATATAATCTTGAGCCAGGGGGTCTATTCATCACCTGGACTCAGGAAACCACCAATCTAACTACAGGGTATGATAACATTTCTGATACCAGCTCTCAGAACATCTAGGTATTCTCCTTTTCCCAGTGTAGCTGTCTTTGGAAAATGTCACTTGTCCTTTTAGAGAGGGATTCTAAAAATATTAATGTATATCCTTACGATAGTTTTGGAGTTTCCTTCTCAAGGGGACTCAGGTTGCCCTTCAATCAATGGGCTCTGGGTTTGTAAACTGACTTCGATTTGGAAACTAGCTGAGGGATAGCAATGTTCCATGGTGATGGTTGATGTCAGCCTTCTGCTTACCAATTCGTGCATTTATTTTATAAATTAAATAATATCCTACAAGGCTGTCCATATGTCTCCACCCTAGGAATAAGCAAATCTACTGATTGTTGCCAAAAATATTTGTGGGTCAAGGCACCTTGATTGTCACACTGGCATTGCTACCCATTATGGTAATTGTATTTACCTTTGCTCTGTTAGCTGGGTGTTATCATTTGGCTTCTGGTATTCTGGAATTCCATCATCCCTTTTGATACTAGAGATCCATGTTCCATGGCAGTATCCCCCACTCTTGGCCTTGACAGGTCTCCTTTCACCAATGTATTTCTTATTCCTTAGTACAAGGAAGTTCCCTGGCCTCTTGGAGTATAGAGACAGGTGGTGGGTTAGCAGGTCTGAATACATAGTAAATATATTCTAACGTTCTCACTTTCCTATGACTTTTGATCTCTTCCCCAGTACAATGCCAAGATTATTTCTGGTGTGTCTACCACCTTTCCAAGCTTCAAGGAAACATCACAACAAACTATTTATAGTGACCTCAAGTGCTCTTGCCAAAACACTGGATAACCACTCATGAGTGCATGCCTTCATGTAATGAATTCTCTCTTATAAAACCTCATTTTATGAACTCACTCTCTCTTTCTCCCCAGTCTTACATTTTCAAGATCTGCTCCCACCTATATTACCCTGATTCTGTTGACAAAAAGAGTCAAACTCTGTAAAATATTTTAAGAGATTTATTCTGAGCCAAATATGAGTGATCATGGCCTGTGACACAGCCCTCAGGAGATCCTAAGAACATGTACCCAAGGTGGTTGGGGTACAGCTTGGTTTTATATATTTTTAGGGGGGCATGATACATCAATCAAATACATTTAAGAAATACATTGGGCCGGGCATGGTGGCTTATGCCTGTAATCCCAACACTATTGGAGGCTGAGGCAGGCGGAACACCTGAGGTCAGGAGTTCGAGACCAGCCTGACCAACATGGCAAAACCCCATCTATACCAAATATATAAAAATTAGCCAGGCGTGGTGGCATGCACCTGTAATCCCAGCTACTCAGGAGGCTTAGGCAGGAGAATTGCTTGAATCCAGAAGGCAGAGGTTGCAGTGAGCCGTGATTGTGCCACTAGACTCCAGCCTGGGCGACAGAGCAAAACTCCATCTCAAAAAGAAAAGACAAGACAAGACATTGGTTTGGTTCAGAAAGGCAGGACAACTCAAACCGGGGACTTCAGGGTATAGGTAGATTTAAACATTTTCTGGTTGACAATTGGTTGAGTTTATCTGAAGACCTGGGATCAATGGAAAGGAATGTTCAGGTTAACAAAGAGGATTATGGAGAGACCAAGTTTTATTGTGCAGAGGAATCTCTCAGCAGACTTCAGAGAGAGCAGGTTATAAAATGTTTCTTATTAGACCTAAAAGGGTGCCTGGCTCTTAGCTGATTATCTCCTGGATCTGGAAAGAAAGGAAGGAAAACAAAGGGGAAAGGGGATTCTCTACAGGATGTGTAATTTTCTTTTTTTTTTTTTTTTTTTTTTTGAGACGGAGTCTCGCTCTGTCACCCAGGCTGGAGTGCAGTGGCCGGATCTCAGCTCACTGCAAGCTCCGCCTCCCAGGTTCACGCCATTCTCCTGCCTCAGCCTCCCGAGTAGCTGGGACTACAGGCGCCTGCCACCTCGCCCGGCTAAGTTTTTGTATTTTTAGTAGAGACGGGGTTTCACTGTGTTAGCCAGGATGGTCTCGATCTCCTGATCTCGTGATCCGCCCGTCTCGGCCTCCCAAAGTGCTGGGATTACAGGCTTGAGCCACCGTGCCCGGCAGGATGTGTAATTTTCCCACAAGAGACTTGGCAGGGCAATTTCAAGGTATGGTAAGGAAATACATTTTGGGGTTAAATATTTCTTCCTTGTCTCAATGTTATGCCAGAGTGATTGAAAAGTAAGTCACGATATATAGGGTCAAATAAAACCCATCTGATGAGAATTTATGGCTTGTAGGATATGACTCCCTAGACCCCTTAGGTAGGAATTTGGGCAGATATAAAAATCAGAGTTTAGTCCTCAGGTCTTACGTATTCTCCAGGTCCTACATTTCCTCTGGAATGGCGGCTAACTCCTAGAGCAGGACCTGTACTTCCCTGCTCAGGCTGTGCTGAGCTCTGGTGCAGATTACCAGACTGGAGGCAAAAAAGGGAGAGAATGGAGGCTTATCTTGGGGAGAATAAAAGTTATTCTGCAATGACCTATTTCAGATGGGCAAGGGGAGGCTGTTTTCCTTAGTCAAGAGAAAAGAGTTTTGCTGACAGCATTATAAATAAATAAATAAATAAATAAATAAATAAGAGAGAAAAGGGACTGCTTCTGCTGGTCAGGAAGATTTAGGGACAATTAGGAGCTCAAGATTTTGAGGCTCATCCACTCACATATTTCTTATTCAGGTCTTAACGCCTCACATTTTTCCTTTCTGGAAAATACCTTCACATGGGAAAGTTGTCGAAGCTATGCATTCAATCCCTTTAGCAGCTTTGCCATTCTGGATCCTGAACCTAACTTTCTTTTCTTCTTCTTTTTTTTTTTTTGAGACAGAGTTTCCCTCTTGTAGCCCAAGCTGGGGTGCAATGGCACAATCTCAGCTCACTGCAACCTCCACCTCCCGGTTCAGGTGATTCTCCTGCCTCAGCCTCCCGAGCAGCTGGGATTACAGGCATGCACCACCATGCTCAGCTAGTTCTGTATTTTTAGTAGAGACAGGGTTTCGCCACGTTGGCCAGGCTGATTTTAAACTCCTGACCTCAGGTGATCTGCCCACCTCCGCTTCCCGAAGTGCTGGGATTATAGGCGTGAGCCACTGCACCCCGCCCTGAACCTAATTTTCTTTTTTTTAACTCAATTTTTATTTTTTTAATTATACTTTAAGTTCTAAGGTACATGTGCACAACGTGCAGGTTTGTTACATATGAATACATGTGCCATGTTGCTGTGCTGCACCCATTCATTCGTCATTTACATGAGGTATATCTCCTAATGCTATCCCTCCCCCCTCCCCACTATAGGCCCCAGTGTGTGATGCTCCCCACCCTGTGTCCAAGTGTTCTCACTGTTTTCAACAGTGTCTAACCTACTGCTGCAAGAGATGAGTCTCCTTCATGGCTGCCATAGAACTCCTCTGGCTTTCATATTGTTACTTAATTGGCAAAATGCTGCTTTGAACTATCATTTTTTTTTTCCCAAGACTTCCAATGCTTTCAAGAGCAGCCAGTCTATTCCCCATACTGTATCATTATTATTGCTCCCATACTGATCAAATACAGCATCCACATAATATCCTAATTCCTTATCTTCTATCTGCACCTCATCCAAGTCAACTGGAGGTGAAAGCTTTAGTAATTGTCACGCATGCCTCTGCATGGCAGGGTTATTACTATCCTATTTACTACTGGGAAAACAGTTCTGATTGCCTTTAGATAGGTGGGCTAGTCTCTAAAATCCCACCTTTAAGGGTCTGCTTTTAAAGACTACTCCTGGTACTAGCATTTTTGAGCCTACAGTCTCGAGAAAAGTTTGAAGCAAAAGTATGCACATTTTTGTGATGGATGCTTTATTGATTGGTGAAGTTGCAGGGAAGAAAGTATGAGGAGAAAAAAGAAGTGAGGTAGGGAAGATGTAAAACCAAACAAAGAGATGTGCTACCAAGATGGCCACAGCTTCACTGCAAACAAAGATGCTTGCCTGGCCTTCCAGGGCATCTCCACAGAGTACCTATGAAGCCACTGACTCTCATGGGAGGAAGGGTGAACAGTGTTGGCTTCTTTTTGTCTCCTGTCTCTCAGTGGTCAAGGTTTACCCTACCCTAGACATGAACTCTCCCACACTTCCGGGTTGTAGTACCCACTCCTCCAGGAAGCGTCTCAGGAAGACAGAGCCTCTGCAGTGCATTTTGGCCAATGTGCTTCAGTCTTTCCTCCTGAGTCAGTACCACACGGGGGCCTCTCAGTGTGTGGGGGCAGGTTAGCAGCAGGGGCTGTGGCTGTGGCTTTATGACTGTGAGATACCTCATAGAGTTTTTGTGAGAATTTGGTCAATTAATATCCAATGCCTGGCAGTTAGTAGGCACTCAGTAAATGTTAGCTATCATTATGAATAGTAATTGAGTGAATTTTGTGTGTGTGATTCTTACACGATATGGCTGGTAGCAGCATGTTCCCCACCCCTTCTAAGCCTTTGTTTAGCGCCACTGTGCTCAGTCGTACACGCTGGCACAGTCAGCCAAATCTAAGCAGCTCAACAGTGCCATGAGCTGTGGTCCGCAGCCGCATGGGGCAGCCAGGCAGCACATGGCTTTGCAGTTAGTCCACAAGAATGGTGACCACCATCTAGGCAGCAAAGAGTTGTGCAATGGAGTGTTTTGCTTTTATAAAAATAGGACTAGTGATAATGCCTTCCATTCTCTAGCCACCCTAAAACATTCTTTTAAATATTTAGCTTGTCTCTGAAATCTACCAAGGAAATAAACTGATACTGGTTTTTGTTCCATAAATTATAGTCACATAGCTCAAAGACAGTTTGCCCATTCACAGAGTCATACATTTGCTTCCGAAACCATGAATACAGGGGCCCTCAACTGTCAAGTGTCTGAAGAATATCTCTTCTGTGGGAAATTTGTGACACTGTCCTCTGAGTTTGGTTAATCATAAATAAATATTCTTCATTTAATGAAGAGTTCAAATCTGAATCTTGTCACCATGGAAAACAGGGCTCTCTCCTCCCATTTTTCTTAATGAGGCACTCAATGCCACAGTCATAATGTTTACCTCCCTTCAGGGAACAACAGCTCTTGACAAGTGGAAATACGATTTCAGCAAAAAAAACTTTCCACTCTATATTTGTTACACTGCTTCAATATTATGTCTTGATTCCTGCTTCGAATTTATGGAAAGGATTTTCATAGTCAAGGGAAATCTACTGATGAATGTGAGAGGCATGAACCTTGAGACAATGACAAAGTAAATTTTGGGCTTTAAAGAAATACACCATTTGCTTGTCTGGAAGCAAGAGCTGAGTTTTTAAAAACAGAAACTGATCAAAGTTAATCAGTCTAATGAAAATATAAGAGGTAACATATATTTTATTTAGGTAATTTTGAATCAATTTCCTAAACTATGCTTTCCTGTTGACGACAGACGTTTATCCTGAGTGTCTGGCAATTGTGTTGAAACTATTTGATGACCTGGCTGGGTGCAGTTGCCTTGGAAGGCCGAGGCAGGTGGATCGCTTGAGCTCAGGAGTTCAAGACCAGCCTGGGCAACATGGTGAAACTCCATCTCTGCCAAAAATGCAAAAATTAGCCAGGCATGGTGGCACACACCTGTGGTCCCAGCTACTTGGGAGGCTGAGGTGGGAGGATCACTTGAGCCTGGAAGGTGAAGGTTGCAGTGAGCCGAGATGGCGCCACTGCACTTCAGCCTGGGTGACAAAGTGAGACCCCATCTCAAAAAAAAAAAAACAAAAAAAAAAAACAACAACGATATGATGACCTAGTTCCCCGTTCCTGGATTTACCTTACTCCCAATACCTGAGAACAGATTTGGCTCCATCAGTTCTGATCTTTGGCCTTATACCATAAACACAGCACGGAGCTTCCTGTCTGGATCCCTCAGGCCACCCTCATCAACTACCAGCTGGACCTAACCCATGCCCTAACCCCATCCTTCGGAGCCTACCTCTGGCCTCTAGGAGTCAGACATATACAGGACATGGAGCCAGGTGCCACTAAAAAGAAATATAAGAAATTTATGGTAGAGATACAGAGAAACTATTTGTCTTAGTCTGCACAGGCTACTGTGATAAAATACCTTTGACCAGGCGTCTTTTAAACAAAAGAAATTCTTTTCTCACAATTCTGGAGATAGGAAGTCCAAGATCAAGGCACTAGAAGATCTGGTGTTTGATGAGGGCCAGTTCCTCATCATCATCTCACAGCCATCATCTCACAGTAACCTCACATGGCAGAAGGGGTAAGGGACCTCTCTCAGGCCTTTTTAATAAGAGCACTAATTCCACTCATGAGGGCTTCACCCTCATGACCTAATCCCTCCCATAAAAGCTCCACCCTCTTGTTCCATCTCCTAATATCTCCCTGGAGGAGAATCTCAACATATGAATTTCACGAGACACAAACGTTCATGGCGAGACCCTGTCTCTACAAAACATAAAAAAAATTCGCACATGCCTGTGGTCCCAGCATCTAGGGAGGTGGAGGCAGGATTGCTTGAAGGGATGTGGAGGCTGCAGTAAGCCCAGATCGTGCCACTGCACTCCAGCCTAGGCAGTAGAGCCAGACCCTGTGTCAAACAAACAAACAAATAAATAAATAAAATGAGGTAGCTCTGTAAGTACTGGCCTAGAAAGATGTCCATACACATAAGGCAAAAAGGTCAGGCTGTAAAACAACAGGCAAAAGAGAGGCTTTACAGCGTACTTTAAGATAACAGACTGCCCATTCGGTAACGCAGCCTGTCTCTCTCCTCTCCTCATCCCAGCTACTACTCCTCGCCCAACATAGCGTTTTTCCACGACCTTCCGTCTTTTTCTCTCAGTACTCTCCCGCTCCCCCTGCTCTTCCTCTCTGCGTCCGGGATCAGGACCCGGGTAGACTACCTGCGGCAGGAACGCGCGTGCGCCGTGGCACCGCCCAGAACGCGGGGTGGGCGTGTTTTCCTCGCCCCCAGGGCGGAGCCGAGGAGCGATTGGTCCCCGTTTTGGGCCTCCCAGGATTGACTGGCCCTTTCACCCAACCAGAGCGACCCACACCCGGTCAGATCACTTCCGCCCTCGCATGGCAGCGCCTCTCGCCCCGTCGCGTTTATCCAGGACGCAGTGAGCACTTGTTTTTGCTGTTCCCTCCTGCCTTTGACAGTGTTCTGCAGACACTGGTGTTGAGATTGGCATGCCTCCCGCATTTACAGAGAAGCCCTTTAAGAGGGAGAGTTTAGGCCAAGTTTACTTTAAGTAGGAACCTGAGAATTAAAAACCGAATTAAAAAGTTGGCCGCCGCCCTGGAGGGAGATAAAGAGCCCCCTTCTCTCATGCTTCCTTGTGTGAACTGAATTTCACATATTACTCAACAAATCGATAGCCATGAACTCAGGTTCCTAAATAGTAGTAATGGTATTATTACTACTATAATCTATAATACTATTACTATAGCATTATAGTAAGTATAGTATTAGTAACAACTAATACTAATAGCTAACCTTACATTAGACTTGGAGCGAGCAGTCACTCTTGTTCCCTGCTGTGGTTTGAATGCTGCCTCGGAAACTCATGTTGAAACCTAATCCCCAGTGTGGCAATATTGAGAATGGGGTCTTGGAGACGTGATTGGGTCATGAGGGCTCTGCCGTCCTGAATGGACCGATCCATTCATGAGTTAATGGGTTATCACGGAGAGGGACTGGTGGCTTTATAAAAAGAGGAGACCTGAGCTAGCACACTGAGCCCCTCACCATGTGATGCCCTGCACTGCCCCTGCACTCTGCAGTCCCCACTGGCAAGAAGCCGTCACCGGGTGTGGCCTCTTTACCTTGGACTTCTCAGCCTCTGTAACTCTTAAGAAATAAATTTCTTTTCTTCATAAATTACCCAGTTTCACATATTCTGTTATAAGCAACAGAAAACAGATAATCCCTTTACAGCAGTGTCACTATCTTTACCTATAAGGTGGGTCTCACTATCCTTATTTTATAGATGAGGATGCCAAGGCACAGAGAAGTTAAGGAACTTGTCCAAAATCACCTTAGTGATAACTGGCAGAGCTTGAATCAGAATTCAAGTAATCTGGCGTCCAATGCTACCAACCATTGCATTCTGCTGCCTCTCAGAAATAAACCAGGCATGGAGTAATATTCATCTGTAGTTCAAGAAACAATTTATTGAAGCTTCCTTTTTCTGTCAAGTTTGGAAAACCGGGGAGAAAATAGGAATGGAGACTGAGAAGACGACCAAGTAGTTCTGAGTTCAGAGAATTGGGAAATTGAAGGAGGTAGATTAGCTAAGGAAAGACACAAGTACCTGAATCCTTCTAAAAAATTTTTTTATTGAGGTGAAATTCACATAACATAAACTTAGCCATTTTAAAGTGAACAATTCAGTGACATAACATTCACAATGTTGCACAACCACCACCTCTGTCTAGTTCCAAAACATTCCTGTCACCCCAAAGGAAAACCCCAAACTCGTTAAGGAGTCACTCTCTAATCCCTCCTCCGCCAGGCCCTGGCAACCACCAATCTCCCTTCTATGGATTTAAATATTGTGAATATTTCATCTAAATGGAATCATATAATAATAAGCCTTTTGTGTCTGGCTTCTTTCATTTAGCATGTTTTTGGGTTTCTTCTACATAGCATAAATCAGTACTTCTTTTTTTTGGGTGAATAAAATTCCGTTGTGTGTATGTAACACAATTTATCCATTGATGGACATTTAGACTGTATCCAATTTTTGGCTATTGTGTATAGTGCTACTGTGAGCATGCATGTACACGTACTTGTGTGAGAACTTAGTTTCAATTCTTTTGAATATATATATGTAGGAGTGGAATTGTGGGGCTCTATAGTAATTCTGTGTTTAACTTTTTGAGGAACTCCTATATCCTTTTGAAACCCTTCCTTAAGGCCATAATATTAATATAGTAAATACTATTAAATATACTAAATATTTTGAATCAGAGTTTCTGAGTCTTAGCACAATTGACATTTGGGACCCGGTAATTCTTTGTTGTGGGAGAGCTGACCTTTGGTTATACAGGAATTTTAGTAGCAATATTGGCCTCTACTCACTAGATGTCAGTAGCATCCTCCCACTTCAATCACCAATAATGTCTGGAGACACTGTCGGATGTCCTCTGAAAAGCAAAATTGGCCCCCTTCCCACTGAAAATTACTGTTTTAAAGGCTTCCTCATAAAGTTGGAGCAAATGTGGCTAGCACTAAAGCAGAATACTACAACAAAGTAATGGCCTTTAAGAAATGGATATTCCCTAGAAGTCTTCCTTAGTATACAGGAAGTATTTTTTGTTTACTGTGTAATGTTAAGAAGTTTGCAGATTTACAAATGTTTGACAACCAGAAAAATCTTATCATTAAATATTCATATACCTTTCAAATGTAAGATCAGTAATATAAATCCGGCTCATCCGCAATGCCAAGAAATATAGCTTCTCTCCCGTCCCAGGCACATTACATACTAAATCACATTTATAGCACACTGCATCACATTATTTTTAAGGTGGCAGCTAGGAGCATGATTTGTAAGACTTTTTTGATATAGTAATACTTATTTTTTCAAATAAAAGTTCAGGCAGCGCCCATGAGGAATGTCATTTTTTGGTTCAGCCAAATAATGGAAAAACAAAAGCTATTTTTCATTATTGAGATACAGTGAACCAAAATGAATCTTTTTTTTTTTTTTTTTTTTTTTTTGAGATGGAGTCTCGCTCTGTCGCCCAGGCTGGAGTGCAGTGGCATGATCTCGGCTTACTGCAAGCTCCACCTCCCGAGTTCACGTCATTCTCCTGCCTCAGCATCCCGAGTGGCTGGGACTACAGGTGCCTGCCACCCCCCTGTGGCTAATTTTTTGTATTTTTAGTACAGACGGGGTTTCACCGTGTTAGCCAGGATGGTCTTCATCTCCTGACCTTGTGATCCGCCTACCTCAGCCTCCCAAAGTGCTGGGATTACAGGCATGAGCCACCATGCCTGGCCCAAAATGAATCTTTTAACATTTACTGTTATTTACTGTTAAAGATCTTGGTGAGTGAGTTGTGGGAACCCTGAGTACATAAACACCTTTGCAATCACAAAGCTGATAAGATCAAAACTGTTATGGAAATAGATCAAGCAGCCTTAGGCACAGACGGTATTGTTGTAGAATCCACAGCAGTTAGTAAGGGCCATAGCACTGAACTCCTTGTCTTCCCAGAGACCAGAAAAAGAAGGAGGGTTGGTGCCATTCAGAGAAGTACTGCAACGAAAAACCAGAGAGGTACATAGCGGGGTCAGACAGGAACAAAGCAACAAAACATATCAATAAGTTATACTAAGCAGCTGAAAACAAAAACAAAAACCTGAAAATTGATCCATCAGCCATGACCAAATAAACAGAACCCAATATATTTCTTTTCTCATTCATTCCCAAGATAATACTGGCAAGAAACCCTCAACTATGTGTGTCTGCTCCTTTGCCCAACTCCTAACCACAGTCCATTTGGAAATTTCCAGATATCCCTGAGTCAAAATGTATGGCTTATAATGATTTAGTATTGAATTGATTCTAAAAAGTAAGGTGGTATTCCAAGGCCACCTTCCTCTTGAAAACAGCTTACACTTAATTAGTATAAATTAATTGGACAAAAACATTATGTCTTTCATATTCTAGATGCCAATGATCTTTAGTATGTGGCTTTAGAAAATCCACCAAAATGCCACAAGAACGTAAGAATCAGGCAACATGACGAACGTCCGTGTCTACAAAAAGTAAAAATTAACCAGGCACGGTGACATGCACCTGGCCTGTAGTCCCAGCTACTCAGGAGGCTGACATAAGAGGGTTGCTTGAGCCTGGGCCAAGATTGTGCCACTGCACTCCAGCCGGGGCAACAGAGCAAGACCGTGTCTCAAAAAAAAAAAAAAAAAAAAAAATCAAAACTGTGCCAGAGCAATGATGAATCCAGCTCATACCTCATCTTTAATAGTGCATCAAAAGGATTTTTTTAAAAAAATATGTTAGTTGCCTTCTCTGATGATAACCTCCAAACACAGGAGGGGCAACATTCATGAACTTGGCCCAGTAACCTGTCAAGCAGCTAGCAGCTGAATATCTACCTGTATAGTGAACAGACCGCTTAATAACTTCCAAATCTTTGTTTGTTTGAGACAGGGTCTCACCCTGTCACCCAGACTGGACTGCAGTGGTGTGGATCACGGCTCACTGCAGTCTCTAATTCCTGGGCTGAAGTGATCCTGCCACCTCAGCCTCCCCACGTAGCTGGGACTACAGGCACACACCACCATGCCTGGCTAGTTTTGTTTTGTTTTGTTTTGTTTTAGTAGAGATGGGGCTTCTCCATGTTGCCCAGGCTGGTCTTGAACTCCTGAGCTCAAGCGATCCTCCTGCCTTGGCCTCCCAAAGTGCTGGGATTACAGGTGTGAGCCACTGTGTCTAGCCCATAACTTTTAAATCTATCTCCAGCTCTGATTTCTCTCTTGAAGTTCCCGTGTGAGAACACACGGCCCTCAGGTCTCCAGGGTAATGCTGCTGAGGTTGAATAGAGTGTATGAGAAGGGCCGTGAGTATTGGTAACAGCCTAGATCAGTGTTCTTTTCTCTTATTGGGTGCATCTTCATTATTAGCTTAGTATGCTCCAGTGAGCATACTGAGGTGGATTTTGAGTACCTTCACAGGGTAGTCCTGCAACTACCTCCAAGTTAACACATCAAAAACTGAATTAAGGCTGGGCATGGTGGCTCAGGCCTGTAATCCCAGCATTTTGGGAGGCCAAAATGGGAGGATCACTCGATCCCAGGAGTTCAAGACCAGCCTGAATAACATAGTGAGACCCCATCTCAATACAATAAATAAATAAATATAAAAAACAAAAACTGAATTAAGCCATAATCTCTCCCTTTTACTCCCATTCCTGAAACTAGTCCTCCTCTTCTGTGCATGAATGGCACTCCTTAGACCCACTTGCTCATGCCAGAAAAGAGACAGTCATTTAAGACTCCTTCCTCTTCTTCACCCCACCTCTTCCTCCTATCTAGCCAATGATCAATCCTATTGATTCTACTGGATCTAGTGTATCTCCAACCTCACAATCACTTAGTATCCATTCTTACCATCTCTCACTAGGACTATTACAGCAGTTTGTTGGTCTCCTTGCCATCCAAATGGCTACCGAAATGATATGTTGAAACAGCATAGTTGATCATGCCAGTGTTCGGAATTCAGCAGGTCAAAACCTAAATTCTTTAGTATTTCATACAAGGCTTTTTATGATCTCTCAGCCTTTTTTCCCACCACTCTCTTCATTCACGCACATATCACCACCAATACACACACACCTTTTGATTTGAAGGCACCAAACATTCTAGTTCCTGAAATCTTTCCTTTTGTGTGTTCCAAAACTAGTTCTTTTAGATTAATGACATACCCTCGTCTTTTCATATTCTAGATTTTGGTAAACAAGTTCGTTTTTACACTACCTGAACTCATCATGATTTAATAAATTCAACTTTATCCTCTCTCAGTTTTCTTCATTTCTGTCTGAAGAAGTGTATAATATTTTAGCCACTTATAACCATTGCTAAATCTACCTATGACCTATCTGTATTCCAATCACAATAAGTAGAGTAATTTCTTTTTTTAATTAATGTAAAATAGAGACAAGTCTTGCTATGTTGCCCAGGCTTGTCTTGAACTCCTGGGCTCAAGTCATCCTCCCGCTTCAGCCTCCCAAAGTGTGGGACTGTGGGTGTGAGCCACCATGCCCAGCCAGTAGAGTAATTTCTTATCAGGGAAACCATTTTTCTTTACTACTTCCCTTGCTGCTCTACTTCTCAGTGGCCCACCGACACAGGTAGACCCTGTCGCTGGAGCATACTAAGCTAATAATGAAGATGCACTCAATAAGAGAAAAGAACACTGATCTAGGCTGTTACCAATACTCACGGCCCTTCTCATACACTCTATTCAACCTCAACAGCATTACCCTGGAGACCTGAGGGCCGTGCGTTCTCACACGGGAATGGGGTCCTGGTGCTCACCTCTGAAAGAGCCCTCTGCAGCACATGTGGGTCTCATAGGTTCTATTGGTGAAACTCGTGTTTAGGAAGGACACGCAGTCAGCTTCAGCTCCCCTGGGGACATAGAGGATTCCTGGATAAAGGAGACAGAGATACTGAGAGGAAGATCTGACACATGCTTCTCAAGGCTCTTTATTCTTTTGGTACGAATTGTGGACACTGTTGATTAGGTGCCTTTGCCATATATCTGTGGAATGGATGGGTAAATCAATATTCTGAAAGACATCCTGTCATGATCTAGGGAAGTGATCTCTGCTGCCCCTGTACTCAAGGACAATTCCACCTTCCTCATATTATTCCTCCAATCATCACCCTCATGCAGTGGTATCTCCATCAGAGCTGAGGCACCTACCTGCCATACAGGCACTGATAAGGGATACACAGGCCCCTGTGAAGAGGGCCCTGACCACAACCTTGGACAAGTCACTCTTCCGGTGAGGTGCTATTGATGCTGCAGACAATAAAATAAAATAGCTTCAGCTTTTCCCCATCAGGCTATCAGGTATATCCCCCCACTTAGAAGAACGCAGAGGAACAAAACACAGCCGATGAAGAGCATCCTTATTACCATCCACCTGAGACTGGCCAGTGTTGCCCTAAGAAGTGTGCGTGTACATTAGTCCTGAGGGATCACTAACTTAGACTTTCCTCAGATCAAGGATTGAGTGTCTGACCCTCACTTTAATGGTTCTCTGAACATACCCAAGACATATCTGGATTAAGCAAGGCTCTGGGTTGCTCCAGACAGGTACAAATGCCTGGCGTTCGCCGCTTGAGATATGCACTGTTAAGCCTGGACCAGAATTAGATGGACTATTTTGAGACAGAGGGCTAAGGAAAGCAACACTCACCTAAGACTTAGCCACACAGTGCATATCCCACTACTAGATGGCAATCTCATAATCAGACAGTAATCAGGCATCAAGACTAGAACAATAGAGACAGGTGTTTAACAGAAGCGGAAAAGATAAACTGAAAGGGAATTATTTCACCTTTCAATTAAATCGGCTACCAAATACATGAATTAAATGACTCTACCCCAGAATATAATTGCCTTTAAAAAGGGACACACTGAGCTATATTTCTTATTATAATCCCTTCCTTCCCTCCCTCCCGTCCGTCCTTCCTTCCTTCCTTCCTTCCTTCCTTCCTTCCTTCCTTCCTTCCTTCCTTCCTTTCTTCCTTCAGACCTCCCTGTGTCACCCACGCCGGGCTGCAGGGGTGCGATCACAGCTTACTGGAGCCTCGATCTCAGTTCAAGCAATCCTCCCACCTCAGCCTCCCGAGTAGCTAGGACTACAGGCATATGTGCCAATATGCCTGGCTAACTTTTAAATTCTGCGTAGAGACAGAATCTCACCATGTTGCCCCAGGCTGCTCTCAAATTCCTACAGCAAGCAATCCTCCTGCCTTGGCCTTCCAAAGTGTTGGGATTACAGGCATGAGCCACCACATCCAGCCTAAGATCCATTTCTAACTTGGATCTTCCAAACTTCAGATCTGCTAGTCATCCCTGTGCCCCTGCACTCAAGGACAATTCCACTGTCTTCATATTATTCCTCCAACCATCACCCCCATGCAGCAGTATCTCCAACAGTCTAAATATATCTGCGTCTGCTTCAAAGACCCACTCTTTTAATGTTTGGTACTTGCAGATTTAAATCCAACACTTTACACCACTCTCCCTTACTATCTATCTGCCTTATGTGCCTGCTGCTTTTATTTGTTTTAATTCTTTGTGTTTCCATGAGGACTAGTGAGCAGCCTAATTTCAAAAAGTGTCTTCACTACTGAATAAAATACAAGACCAGGCGCGGTGGCTCACGCCTATTATCCCAACATTTTGGGAGGCCAAGGCAGCAGACCACTTGAGGCCAGGAGTTCAAGACCAGCTTGACCAACATGGTGAAACCCCATCTCTTCCAAAAAAAAAAAAAAAAAAAAAAAAAATTGTAGGCATTGTGGCACACACTTGTAATCCCATCTTGGGAGGCTGAGGCATGAGAATCGCTTGAACCCAGGAGGTGGAGGTTGAAATGAGCTGAGATCACACCACTGCACTCCAGCTTGGGCAACAGAGTGAGACTCTGTCTCAAATAAATAAATAAATAAATATCTTTATTTATATATGCACTACTCCAGTTTAATGGCAAAATTGAAATAATATCATTATATTTTCTTCCTCATAGAGAAAAGTAAAATAAAATTAGTTTTTGGGGCCTCCAATCCAAACGAAAAAAGTAACTGAAGTTGAGATTATAAAGGGCTCTATACATAGCCAGGTGGGCCTGACTGCCTTAGGTCCAAGTTGACTGCAGCCTAAGAAATGGGTCCATTTCACAATGGCTTCTCTGTCTGATCCCAACTTGTACTGAAGCACCAGGACTGCCCACTGCAGAAGCTGGGATCTGGCTGTCTTACTGGGGAGCTGGGAAAATGGATGAACTCATTCAAGCCTCCAAGCGTGATTCCTATGGAACTAAGATTGGCAAATCCACAGAGTGAAAATGTTGTAATGATTTCAGCTCTCACCTAGGGAAAACAAAAATAAATAAGCAAATAAATTCAGTCCCATGCGTGCGGTCTTATAACCACAAGAGAAGTTCCAGCGTACTGACAGCCCCCAATCTTTTCCATGGTTTCCCAAGATTATTCAGAAAATATCTGTTCCCTGAGTTACTATAGGGATAATGACATGGAAACCACCATGGGCCTCATTGCCCAACGCTGTTCTTGTTGAAGGCTATGAATAAGGAGAAGGCCTGGGAATGAGGATTACAAAGGAAAAGGAAAGAGGCAAAGGGAAAGAAAAAGGATATTAATTTGGAGCAATTTAAACTTTTAAATGAAGAAGCGGACCTTAGGCCATCAGAAGATAGTGTCTGCCCTGGACTGCCCCAGCTGTAAAGACCCAGCAATTACATTATAGAGAGAAGTTGGGTCAGAGTTGGGGCAGTGGTGGGGGCGGGCAGGGGAAAATAGCATGCAGACTGGTAATAGCTCAGGCGCTGCAAATGAGGCTGCTAGGTATGCTGTTCTGCTCGCTTTGTAGTTAGGTCTGCAACAAACCCGTGTGGCACTTTCTATCTACCCTCAGATAACCATGGTTGAGACCTCACGGTGTTTATGCTTTTTGGATTGTCACTTACAGAAATCCACTGTTTCTCTCCCTCAGTCCACTCCTCCACTCCAGAGAGACGTTTGTTCTTGTATTGAGACAGTTGCTGATAAGCCACAAACTCATTTATGAAGAACTTGATTCCCACCATCTCAGCCACCATTGGACAATCTGTCCACTCTACACCCATCATGAAAACCATGGGCCTTAGGAGATAGGAGCAGATGACCTGAGTGAAAGGGAGATATCCCAGTGAAAGAGGAAGGACTAATAGCAAAGGTCAGGTGCCAAGGACCTTCTCTAGAGCCTTGGCCCAATCTCCTCCACCCTTCTATGCATGATCTCTCTTGGCTTACTGTGAGTCAGAAGGACATGCATGGTTGAAGGGCTACCTAACTACATCCCAGAGGGACAGCCCAACAAATGTAATCCTTTACCTGGAAAGTGAGCCCCTGTATGTCCACCAGTTCTCCCAGCCAGGAGAGGGCAGCATTGATGAAAGCCAACACAGCCAAAAAGGCAACCAGGTTGGCTGCTACATTAGCAGCAAGGCCTATGGCATCTGTGGCTCCGTTGCTAGCAGCTTCCAGGACATTCCTCTCCTTCCTGTGAACATTGGGCAGAGGGCAAGAGTAGGGTGTCTACAGTAGTCTCAGCCACTTAGAGAAGAGAAATCCCACTGTCCCTATCGTGCGAGAAGAGGGTGCAAGGCCAATGTACGAGGTGACGGGGTTCCTCAGAGACCCTATTAGTGGAAATTACTCTGAAGCAATATCAGATATAATTGTTATGTAATTGCACTGATGGCAAGGACAGAGAGTACTGGCATGCAGAAGCTACTGCCAGGGCGGAGGGTTAAATGAAGAAAACCAGCATGATTAGCAAGCATCAGAGATAGGCAAGAAGGAATATGGAATCACATTATTCCCCCTCAGGGAGACCTGAAGTCTCTGCCACCACAGTGCCACTCTTAACTACAGCTCACTATCTCCCAAAGTATATGCCTCCTGGGACTCACCCACGGGGCAGCTTTACCCCCTCCTTGCTCTTGAACTTGGATTCCTCCACTTCCGGATATGCTAGCTTTGACAAGGCGAGAGCACAAGGGGCGGCCATCACAGAGGCAGAAATCAGGGATGATGCATCAACCTATGAGGCCAGACTTAGGCATCAGTGTTTCTGTCAAATCCAACTCGAGCTCACCAGGAGTGATCAAGCAGACTATACCTACCCCGAAGGATATGAAGACTCCTAGCACAGTGCCGGAAATGGTGGCAAACCCTCCAGTCATCACCGCATGGATTTCAGAGAGTGTCATGTCCCCAAAGTAGGGACGGATGAGCAGTGGTGCCTCTGTCTACAAACAAGGAGAAAACAGTCAGAATCCAAGAAGGAGCAACTCCCCACGCCAGAGTGCCCACCCCAGCCCCAGGGGCTGGACCCTCTAGACACACTTCCGTCCAGTGTGAGCACTGTTCAGTGAGCCACAGCTTCACTTAGTGAGCATGGAGCCCAGCTGTCAGGCCCATCCAGCATCTGCTTTACTTCCTCTGGCACCCAATCATGTCCTGGCTGGCATAGTTCTCACACGTTTCCATACATGCTTGTTTCATCTATTGACATGTTAAAATGTTATAGAAGAGAAATGGTATATTTTCTTTGTATATTCTCAATGTCTAAAACCACACACTTGCTAAACTTATGGAATGCAGTGCACTTAATGAGAACATATTAGATGATTAAACAGTACTCATTAAATGAAATACAAATAGATGATCCAAACCCCCTGTTTATGAAATAATCAAAAGAAATAATGTTTGTGAAAATGTTATGAAATTATGAAGGGCCATCTATGTAAGCCATATCCAGCACTGACCTAAGATAATGATATCTATTATTTAACAAGTGCCAACTATGTGCCTAGCACTGTACTAGATGCTAAGGACATTAATATAAATAAGGCAAAGTCCTTACTCTTAGAAGCTTATAGTCGCACATAGGAAACTAGGCTGATTATGAATAATTTCAGCAAAATGTGGAGTGCTATGGTAAAGTATCCAGAAGTACTCTGAGAACATTTCAGAAGCAGCCTAGAGCCTTGGGAGAGAAAGACCTCAGTACTAACTCCCTGTGAATGTACAAGTCATTGTCCCCAACACTGAGCTGGTCAGTAGCACATATGGAGCCCTACTTCATACAGACGAATGTACCAAGCAAGTATTATGGGGAAGAGCCTTGGCATTAGCTATGAGCAAGACAAGTGATTTCCTCCTTAGAGACCGTGGAAACCAAGTACCACAGGGAGTCACAGGGAGAAACCAGAATGAGGATCAAACACTCTTCATAGCCTCCGAAAGGGATACGAGTTGGACCAGGATATCCCCTACATTCCTATATAGGAAGTGGTCGTTAGAAGTGGTGAAGGCTATCCCTCCAGATTAAGTATGACCAGGGAAATGTTATTAGGCGCAAAGGGTGAACGCAATGAGCAGCGTCTTCTTTGAGCTGCTGAGTTCTCTCTCATCTGAGATTGGCTGCCCCACAGTCTTCACATATGTGACTTTTCAGAAGGAAAGCATACTCTTCTTTTGTGCCAAATTCTCAGTTCCTCAGAGAGAACAAGACCAAAAGGCCTCAAGATGCTTACCATACCCACAAAGATGTTTCCTGCCACAGCCAGGGTCTCTGTGGCGGTGGTACCCATAGTGACTTGTAAAAACCAGGCGACCTAGAAGAATACAGAAACCTAAACCATTAATGTTAGCAGGAATCTTGGAGAATGTCTCGCAAAACTCCTCCTCCTTCATTTTACTGATAAGGAAACTGAGGCCTAGAGAAGTAGAGCAGCAAGCCCAGGGCCAAAAAACCAACTTACAAACAGAGCCCTGACCAGAACTCAGGACTTATGGCCTTTAGAACAAGTACATTAAAACTCAGTATCAAAGGCAGTCCAGCTCATCTTCTCTCTGCTCTGCCCTCAGCCTACCTAGGGCCTGGGCTGATGGTTTGCTATCAGGCATGCTTGAGAGGGCCTGCCTTCCCCATTTTTCTAAGACTCTAGACCCTAGCTATGGGCATTTTTCCAAAGCTGACAGATGGCAAGATGAAGGCCTGCCTCCTGGCTGGTGTAGGAGAATGACTCACCTTCTGAACCACCCATTGCACGAGGCCCAGGTAGTAGAGAATGGACATCACACATCCAAAGAAAATGATGGTAAGGCCTGTGATGAGAATGGTGAGCAGGTGGTGAGATGTTACATTGCATACTCTGTGTAGACCGTAAACTGACTGTGTTTTAGGCTTCTAAGTTAAGCTCTTAGCATTCCAAGGGCATCTCATACAGGGTAGGTATTCAGTACCCACACAAACCAGTTTAGGGATACATTTAAAATGTATTAAATCCATTGTCCCACTAGTACTAAACCACAAGCTGTTTTCTGACCCTTTTCCCCCAATTCCCATTTCTTCTAATTTTAGGATGGCAATGACCAAAGGGAAGGAGATGGATGCCATTTCCTTTACTGATGGGGTTAAACCCTCTTCTTAGGGTCAAACTGGTATACAGGGGGGCTGATGTCTTGGACACACACTTTCATCCTCCGCTTTATTCCTCCACCCCTCCATAGACCGTCATTCCTGCCCATAAAATAGGTATCACCTGAAAAGCAAAGACATCCTTGACAAGTGTATCCCCAAAGACAAAACTGGAGCCGGCCACAGTGTAGTTCAGGAAAATCTGAAGGGAAAAAAAGAAAAAGACAGAGAATAAGAATGAAACCCAAAAGGACACACAGGAAGATGAGACTAGCCCCATGCGTCCTGAGGACCTACTGTTGCTACTGAGGTTGGCCTCCCTTTGACAGCCCAGGGGCAGGCTATGGCCCCATGAGCTCTTTATTCATATTCTTAGCTGTATCCTAATACACTCTCTCCTTTCCCAACCAGATCTCCCACCACATCATTAACAAGATACAGCCTAATCTTCTCATGCTCCCCTCAAATCTCCTTTCTCTAGAGTTCTAAAAGGGAAAAGCCCTCACATTTAATTTCTCATACCTGGCCCTGCTCTCCCAGCCACTGAAATGCACTATATCCAAGATCAGTTCTCATGACCAAGATCCCAAAGACAAACTGAAGACCGAGGCCCCAAAACACTGTCCTCCAGGACACCTAGGATCAATAAGAAAATTATTCCAATGTGAGTTCTGCTTGTCCTTACAAGAGTTTTAAACATGTACTCTCAGTGGAACAAACCTAGAATGTTAACAGTAAGTCTAGGGTCTGATGGTGTAGGGAGCAGGGGCAATGGTGGGGAGAAACAAGGCAGTAATATATAAAAAGCCACATATGTTCATAAGGTTTTTAAAAAATGTTTCTAAAGGTTAGATGACACTTAGACATATATACATATATGCATGCATGCATACAAATAAAAGTTTTATAAATCAATATTTTAACAGTACTATCCGCAATGCAAACTGATTTTCTACTGTATTCTATTTTCCTTTACGTCCTTATTTTTTTTTATTTTGTTCTTTATTTAACACTGACCTAGATTCACAAAATTGGTATCAAGATTCATTAATGGATTACAATCTACAGTTTGAAAATAAGTGGTCTAGGGCCTCTGATAATTTTTTAAACCTCTCTTAGAAACAAAATTATCAAAGAGGCAAATTCTAGGGGTTGTTACAAACTTAGTTCTATGCCCTTATAATTAATGCTTGATGCATGTGCTTTATGATTAGCACTTGGCCCTTGGTCATGTGTTGCTATACCCAACCCAAATACCCAAAACTCACTGCACTGTGGTGTTTGGAGCAGGCAAAGAGGATGAGGATGAACATGCAGATTCCTGCGAAGGAGATCAGCTGCTCTGGCCTTTGGGCTGTGTCTAAAGCCAACCACAGTATAAGGCCAACCAAGTAGACTCCTGCAAACACCCTGAAGAAGGAATGCCAAGACCATGTCATCAACCCGGTGAATGAAAAACAAATAACTTATATAGAGAGTCTGAAAGTTATTCTCTCACTCCTGGCTGGTGATCAAAGGCCATGTGCATGCTGTGGCTGCTGTAGAATCCAGTTCAGAATATACATAACTGTAAGTTTTCTCTTTAAACTCTAAGGAATTGTAAAAGGCACCAGTGGGTGCAGGAAGTCTGGGAGACTAGAGAGAAAAAAGCATAAAATGTATCAGGGAACTAAGGGAGACACTGATGAACACCAAATCAATTTGATTGCTTAATGCAGCTGCAAGGCTCTGTGTTCTGATTACTTCACTGAGGAGGAGTATGAGTTTTCTCATTTCTGACACAGGCCCTGATGACAATCAGACTAAAACTCTTTTCTGAGACTAAACTCCTCCTGCCCCCTAGCAAGGTTGAGACCCAAGGCTACAAGAATCTGGACTGAGATCCTGTGCTCAGAGGCCTGTTGCTATTTTTCTCTGCACTTTGGTTCTGAAAAGCATGTGTGTGGGTCTGATAGACTGCTCAATAACTATCAAAAGATAAAAAAGGAGGTGGACTGGGATAAGCTGTGAGGCCAGGTATTGAGATTCTTATCTTACCATTTCATCCAAAGCCTCAGGCGGGAGTTTTCAAAGGGCTTCAGACATCTTGTTAATTTTTTGCCCAGGAGCTTTTTCAGAAATGAGTAAACCGGGACAAAGATCACAAAGCAGGTGATGACAAACAAGGCCAGTGCCCTCTGGAAATTCAAGATGCAAGCTGCCAGGAAATAGGCAGCATAGGCTAAAAAGAGAAGACGCAGAGTAATGATCAGCAAGGCAGTGCTTCCAATGGGCAAATGGAACTACAATCATGAATGCCTGGGACTTAAAGCAAGAAAAATCCTCCAGAGACCTTGCCACCCAGCCCTACTGTCAGACGGAGCTGCACTTCTTGAGGCCAGGATAGATGTCTAACTGTCCTCTTCTTCAGGATTCCCAAGGACAGTCTGACTTAGTGCGAAGACTGCATATTTTCACCGATCCCTAATGAAATCTCATTCCCTTCTATTTTATCTAATATCCTCTCTCTGTCCCTTGGAGTAGATTTGATCAGTGTTCACCATTAGACTCTTCAAAAGTCAGTCATCTCCCCTTGAAACTTTATTACCCCAGTCACTTTAACCTTGCCTCTGGAACAAACCATGTAAACAAGGCTACCACTAGGAAGTGCAGCCATGTGGACCTCATCCCATGGCTCTCTTACTCATCTCAAAATATAATTTTTGCTCTCACCATCCCAGCTGCCTCTTATTTTGACATCAAAGCCCCATACATGTTTTAAACAGAGCTTTGCTGTCTTTTAAGAATATTTTACATCATTGATCTTACTAGTAAGCCAGCAAATAAGTAAGGTATAATATAAGCTTCTGTCATAAAGGCTGTAAGAATCATGCACTCCACCAAATCAAGGCACTAAAAAAAGGATAAGCCCACATTCTCTGAAATATTTTAAATCTATCAAATAGTACACTTTTGAAAAACAGTTTATTCTCAGATTTTACTTGTTCCTATAAGTGCAATTCAATACATTATGGTTCACCTACAAGTAGTTAAGATCAATACATCAAATAGCTTTTTAGATCAGTTTTTAATAAAAATGCCTTCCACCTGGTAATCACCTTGACACAAGGCAAATTTCTAAAATAACTGTGTTTCTCACTCTCATGAATTCTCAGTGTCTCACCCAAACACAACAGGCCCAACAGGATCTTCTTGAACAAGCTGGCGTGTGTTTTGCAGAAACTTCTTGCTTTGCTGAAAGGCCACTGTCTCCTCCTAATAAGAACCCAAAAGTTAAGATACAAGAATTACTCCATCCCATTTCTACTAATTCAGCTCTCAGAATTCAGATTACCTAACACAAGACGGAATTAGCTCTTAGTCAATGAAGAATATTCTTCAGCCAGGAGGAAATTAGGTAGTGTTCTGCAATGCCAAAAAGGGCAAATCAAACCTTGCTGGTGGGCAGCAGGTCAGAATACCCTACTCAGCCTGAACTAGCAATATCCTTGGTAGTCTCCTACCATAGAAGTGGGCACTGCTTATGTCAGGGGTCTATGACTTTCCCATTCTGAAAGGACAGGGCATTGCTAAGCTTCCATATTCATAAGAGGGCCTATTCTTCTTAGAGGCAATTTGGCCATCCCTCCCTAAAAACCAAACAAACTTATGGCCTTGAACATTCAGCCAGATGTGCATTGACAGACAGGAAGGAAAATGCCACCAACCTCAAGAATCGCTCTGGTTGGGCAGGCCCGAGAGAAGAGGCCCAGCAAGTAGGGATATTCAAGTTTGATTTAACAAACATGTATATGGTGCTTTCTCTATGCTGAGCTCTTTCTGAGAACTTAGCAAATACTAACTCATTGACTCCTCCTAAGACCCCGGAGCTGTTACTATTAGCATTCCCATTTTACAGATGTGGAAACTGAAAAACAGAGAAGTTAAATAACTTTCCCAAAGTCACAGAGGCTGTAAGGAACAGACACAGAATATACACTCTGGCTTCAGCATCTAAGCTCTTAACCATCATTCTATGCCACGTCTTCCCTAGATGCCAGGCTTGCCTGTCTTTGCCACTCCTAAGTATGCTGAGCATGCTGCAGCCATCTGAGCCAAAAGTTCTAATTTCCAAAATCTTGGAAGCTCCAAAGAATGTGATCCTAGTAAGTAAGAAGGTCCCAGTCTGGCAGTCATGCTGAGGCAGGGCAGCTTAGCCAGGGTTAGGACCAGCCATTAACTCCTAATGCCCTGGGCCTTTGGCCCATAGAGTTCTATGGCTGCCCCTCCCATCTAACACACTCCCCGTTTCTAGTCTTCCTTTTCATTCCTGCCCTCATCACCTCCTGTCCCTGCTGCAGGGAGCCCAGCCCTGTGTTAGCTGAGCAGAGTGTGTACTATGAGATACAGGTAAGCTGAGAAAGGAGAAAACAATGCTTATCACCATCTGACTGGATCAACTCAAGATGATTCTTTAGGATCTCCAGAACTCTGCTTTGCTTTGCTTTTCTTCTCTTTAAGAGACAAGGTCTCACTCTGTTGCCCAGGCTGGAGAGAAGTGGCATGGTGTGATCATGGCTCACTGCAACCTTGAACTCCCAGGCTCAGGTGATCCTCCTGCCTCAGCCTCCCGAGTAGCTGGGACTACAGGTGTGCACCACTACACCCAGCTAATTTTCTTTTTTTAAATTTTTGTAAAGATGAGGTCTTGCTGTGTTCCCCGGGCTGGTGTCAAATTGCTGGGCTCAAGTGATCCTCCCTCATTTTTCCATGCTTAATAGAGAAAGTAGTGAGTAAAAGGGGCAGCATACCTGAGGAGCATCATTATCTTTGGAACACCATTTGCAAAGCATATCAAGGAATGAATTTAATTTCAATCCTGGCCTTCCCATGTGTGCCAGATATCTTTGGTGTGCTCCTCCAGTGCCACTCTCCACCCCACTCTGTGCCCTGGGAATTGAACTCATGTAAACTACATCAGTGTACTCCCATGTCCTCTGGCTTATCAAGTTTCGTTCTGCTACTGGGATCTCCACAGAAGATCAGAGCGTATGAAAAGACTGAGGTCAGTGTGTTGAGGAGGCCTTTTTATCTGACTTTCCTGCCAGGTGCTCTTACATCTTATTCCTTCAGGCCTAGGAATAGACACTGCTCACTGCTTCAAGACTTTTGGTTCTTGCACTATCCTTTCTTATGGTGTCACCACACCTCATACATATCTTTGTAATGGTCTCTTTGTAAATAAATTCTCCTACAATTATCTTAAGTATGCCATCTGTTTCCTGTTGGGACCTAAACTGATGTACTAGATAAAGCTGGTTTAAAATTATATGCAGTCGAATGCCAGTTGAGCAAGCCTCCTGCAAAACAAGAGGCAGGCCTGGACTAGTCCAAGAGTAGATATAAATCACATGCCTAGAAAAGATTTCTTCCATCACCTCCTGACCACAACTCACTATTTCCTGGGAACTAAAATTCAGGAGTACTGCAGGAAATCAATTAAGAACACTCATTTCTGCAAAACCCATTAACAACCTATTCCTAGAATATCAGGTTGGAACTGAGCCTCGGGTTTAAAAAATAAAAATAAAAAATTGATTGGGTGTGGTGGCTCATGCCTGTAATCCCAGCACTTTGGGAGGTCAAGGCAGGAGTGGGGGGATCACTTGAGGTCAGGAGTTCGAGACCAGCCTGGCCAACATGGCAAAACCTTGTCTCTACTAAAAATACAAGAATTAGCCAGGCGTAGTGGCGGGCACCTGTAATCCCAGCTACTAAGGAGGGTGAGGCAGGATAATCGTTTGAACCCAAGAGGTGGAGGTTGTCTCTACTAAAAATACAGAAAAATGAACTGGGTGTGGTGGCATGAACTTGCAGTCCCAGCTACTCGGGAAGCTGAGGCAGAATTGCTTGAGCCAGGGAGACAGAGGTTGCAGTGAGCCAAGATCGCACCACTGCACTCTAGCCTGCCCGACAGAGCGAGACTGTCTCAAAAGAACAACAAAAAAAGAATAATGAAGGTCAGGTGTGGTGGCTCACACCTGTAATCCCAGCACTTTGGGAGGCCAAGGCGGGAAGATCACTTGAGGTCAGGAGTTTGAGACCAGCCTGGCCAACACTGTAAAACGTTGTCTCTACTAAAATCCAAAAATTAGCTGAGTGTGGTGGTGCATGCCTGTGGTCCCAGCTACTCGGAAGATTGAGGCAAGAGAATTGCTTGAACCTGGGAGGCGAAGGTTACAGTTAGTCGAGATTGCACCACTGCACTCCGGCCTGGGTGACAGAGCAAGACTCTGTCTCAAAAAATAAAAATAAAATAATAATGAAAAGAAAGCAGATAAAAATCAGTCTGCATTGAAGGATCAGATTAAAGATGTCCTGAGGAACCAAGAACGGGAGTAAGAGAGGATACAGAGAGGCGTCTGAGTGTTTTTCCTGAGAATGGCTAGCCTATAATCAATCATTCACTCTTGCCCGTTCTTCTCCAAAAGTCTCTGGGATTTGACTTCTCTGATCTATCCCTATTCACCCTGCCTTAGCCTAGGCCCTCTTCATCTCTTGCTTGAACAATGGTAAGAGCCTTTTAACTAGCTTTTGCCACCACTCTCCCTACTGCAATCCCCTCATCACATTGCTGTCAGAATTGATTTCTAAGAAACAATATGGTTCCTTTTCCTCTCCTGCTTAAAAATCCCTTTGGCCGCTGGGCGCAGTGGCTCATGCCTATAGTTCCAGCACTTTGGGAGGCTGAGGCGGGCAGATTACCTGAGGTCAGGTGTTCACGACCAGCTTGGTCAACATGGCAAAACCCCGTCTCTACTAAAAATACAAAAATTAGCCGGGCTTGGTGGCATGCGCCTGTAATCCCAGCTACCCAGGAGGCTGAGGCAGGAGAATCGCTGGAACCTGGGAGGCAGAGGCTACAGTGAGCTGAGATCACACCACTGCACTCCAGCCTGGGTGACAGAGCAAAATAAAAATTAAAAAAAAGAAAAAAATATCCCTTTGTCTCTTGAGTACAAAACCAGACCTGTTAGGACTTTATAGCATGTCCCCAACTAAAACTTCCTGTCTCACAGTCTTACTGCTTGCCTCTTTCCCACTATACAAGCCAGTGTTCTGCCAGTCTGAATATCCTACCCTGCAGGGGACACGTAAGAACCGTTCACACCCCACGCCTGGTATGCACTATTACCTTTCTCCATCTGACAAACTCCTATTCATCCTCCAAGATCCAACTAAATGTCAACTCCTAAGTAAAGCCTTCCTTGATTCCTTCCAGTCAGAATCAGTTGCTCACTTTCTTGTGGTCTTGTGGCATTTTACATCTTTGTTCTAGCACTTACCATATAACATGATATTGTCATTTTTCTGTTTACCTGTCTTTCTTAGGTTGTGAGCATATCAGGGAAAGGTGCATTTCTGTTTTTATCTTTGTATTCTTGGTGCCTAACTTAGTACCTAGCACATACTATTATTGCATTAGGTTGCTAACAAGTGCCCGGCCCATAATAGATGTTCAATAAGTGCTTGCTGGCCAGGCACAGTGGCTCATGCCTGTAATCCCAGCACTTTGGGAGGCCAAGGCAGGTGGATCACGAGGTCAGGAGATCAAGACCATCCTGGATAACACGGTGAAACCCCGTCTCTACTAAAAATACAAAAAATAAGTTGGGTGTGGTGGCAGGCACCTGTAGTCCCAGCTACTTGGGAGGCCGAGGCAGGAGAATGGCGTGAGCCCGGGAGGCGGAGCTTGCAGTGAGTCGAGATTGTGCCACTGCACTCCAGCCTGGGTGACAGAGTGAGACTCTGTCTCAAAAAAAAAAAAAAAAAAAAAAGGCTGAATAAAGGAATAGGTAGGTAGATAGATAAATTCACAAAAATGATTTGTCTATATACTTGTGACAGATAGCTAGAAAGTATGAAAGAATATCATTTACAGTGGTAGCAATGTCATTCAGGGTATTAATTTTTTAATTCTTTTTAAAATTGACAAAAATTGGCTCAGTGCAGTGGCTCACACCTGTAATCCTAGCACTTTGGGACGCCAAGGTGGGAGGATCACTTGAGCCCAGTAGTTTGAGACCAGCATGGGCAATATTGTGAGACCCCATCTCTAAAAAAAAAAAAGAAAATAAAATTGACAAAAATTGTATATGTTTATGGTATACAACATGGTGCCTTAAAATATGTATACATTGTGGAATGGCTACATCAAGCGAATGAACACATGCATTACCTTACATACCAATTTTTTTTTTTTTTTTTTTTTTTGA